GGCTGGGGTTGGTCCCGCAGGGTCCTCTCCCGTGTTCCCAGCACTGACACCCTTGGCTGGTGTGTTGGTACTGGGGAGAGCAGAAGGATACTTGGAAGGTTGGGGAGCGAGATGGCGGGGAACCTCCTGCCTGTGGCCTTTGTCCTGTGCTGGATCTGCAACACTGAGCATCTGCTGGAGGAGGATAATTTCCAAAAAATAGCCCAGTCCCTGGTGAAGTCTCCTAGTGGGCTGCAATATCTTTAGCCCTGGGGTCCTGCCTGGCCACCCAAGGTCACGCTCAAAGTCTCCTGCCTCCCAGGGGAGGTGACGGCCATCAACAACCCTGCCCAGCCACAGGCCTTCCTGGCTAAAGTGTCCTCCTGCTGCGTCACCTCGTTCCAATGGAGTTGAGCCTAGCCAGATGCCATGTGCTACCCCCGGCGCGTTACTTCGTGCAGTGGGGAGAGCGTACCCGGTGCCATGTGGCTGGGGCACCTTCCCAGCCCTCACCACACAAAGTGGGACGGGCAACACTGGAGGTAGCCTGAGAGCTCAGCACTTTGGGTGGCCCTGAGGATCGACGGGGAAGAGCAAAACGCAGCCATGAGATCACCTTCCCACTGCAGAGGCCCTTTCCTGCAGCTCTGGGCTTGGAGTGGCTGTAGAAACCTCTCCTGCCTCCCAAAAATCCCCCTAGATCCAGTCGGAAGCCCAGTGCAGTGTCTTTCCTTCCCTTGCCACTCTCCCCTCCCGTGCTTGGCTGAGCAGGTGGATCCCGACGGGAAGATCCCAGCTCGTGGGGAGCCCCCCCCCGGTCAGCCCCTCTGATCCTGCCGCTCTCTGTCCTGCAGATCACCGGCGGCTCCGCTGGCAAGGAGATGCTCACCAGCATATTTAGTGCCACTGCGGAAACCCTCTCCACTTCCACCACTACCCACGTTACCAAGGTAAGAGCAGCTCCAAAGGGGACAGCCGGGGGCTTCCCGATGGGAGGCGCTGGGATTTAAGGATGGATGGATTTATATTGAGGTTGGTACAGCAGAAAATGCCTCTCTTCTCCTTACAAGCCAAAAAAAGCGTACACTTTCCCGTGAGGGATGGCGAGCTGGGACAGCACCCCGTGCCCTGCTCTGAGGCTCAGGGGTCCCAGCCAGCCAGGCGTGACCGCGGGGGACTGCAAGGCGAGGACGGCCAGGCATGGCGTGTTCAGCACCTGCGTGCCACCCAGGGGGACTGGGACCACGTGCCCACCTCTGCTCGGTGGTAGATGGGGAGGGCAGGGAGTCGTTGGGGCGAGGAGGAAGAGCAGCGCACAGCGTCGCTGACCTCCTGAAGCCGGCTGCAGGGGTGGAAGGGACTCCCGAATTACACTGCTGGCAGCATGTGGTTCCCTGCCCGTGCAGCTGGGCTGAGCGTTCCCAGATGGAGCTAGAGCCAGACCCCAGGTGCCCCTGGCCCAAGAAGCCCACAGCCCCGGTGCTGGAGCATCTCACCTCACATCAGCTATGGGAGCCATGTGAGTGGGGGTGTATTGGATTTCTTAGAGCTGGCATGGGGCTGGAAGGGGACTGGTGGTAGGAAACTAAGGAGACAAGGCTGCATCAAGGACCTCATTTGTGGCCGTTTCATTCCCAAATTAAGTGCACATAAATGAAAGCAAAAGCTCAGTGAGGGACCTGAGCAGGAAGAAGGGGTGCTCAGTACGTGCCACCTAGCCGTTTTCCTTTCCTCCCCAGCTGTGGCCAGCTGCCTGGCTGGTTCTAACCATGCACCGAGTCAAGGGTGGTGGGAGATACACTAAATTACGGGGGGTTCCTAAGGTGGTGCTGGCGTTGTTCCTCCGCCTGTGGGCAGAGGTACACGTGCCAGGAGCTGGCCGTCGGGCAGCTGTGGGTGAGTGCTCTCCTTCTCCTTGTGCAGACTGTGAAAGGAGGGTTTTCCGAGACCCGAATAGAGAAGCGCATCATTATTACAGGAGACGAGGATGTGGACCAGGACCAGGTAGGAGCAGAATGCCCTGGCTTTGCCCAGCTCTGGCTGCCCCCACCCGCAGCACTGCATGCTTCTGATTGTGGCTCATGCCTGTTTACTCCTTCTCTCCAAAAACTGACCCCTGAGGCCCCAAACCTACCCGCTCTGTCCGGCAGCGCAGGTCCCCATGGGTGCCGTGGGACCCACGTGAAGCCCCGGCTCCCACCAGCCGGAAGCAGAAGCAGCGGTAAAAGTTACATCCCAGAACAGTGCCCCATGATGGAATCACCTTTTATCTTCTTAAAACACATTTCCAGTTGCCCTTTCTCTGTTGAAATACTCCAGAATGACTCAGGTTCTTCCTCTCTTTCCAGCACAGTCTCACTACAGGTTGACTCACTCCAAGTGATGGTGTTTTGCATCTACCTCCATGATAACAGGAACAAAAAGTGACAAATTTTTATGATGAAATAACAGAGATTGATGCAAATCTCTAGAGCCACAGGGTCATTTTCCTGTGGCCTGACCCTTTGGGATTTGTTGCTGAAGAAGAAAAATTAAAGGGCTAAAGTGTTTAAAAGGCTCTAAAATATTTTTTGGATTTTTTTAGAATTCTAATAATAAATTAGATTATTATTGTAGCTTTCTCTAGGGTTTTGCTGCAGAGAGAATTGCTGCTGTTCCTTTGCTTGGGTTTCAGTAGGCAGCCTGGGACGTAGTGCATCTCTACAGAAAAAAACAGGAGAAAGGCAGGGGGTGAGGCATGCCGGTGGTATA